TATATATATATATATCTACAATCACTGATTGTTTACATCATTATAGTCTACAATTTTCTAGAACCATCATAAGTTTCTGAAATTTGTCTTTGATTCCAATTATTATGATTTACAACTTTCCCCTTTTTTTGAAATTCGATGTATGTTATTTGTATGCAGTCGATTCATATATTTATATGCTTTAAAATTTTATATTTCTTGTTAAAAATTTGTTACACGGAAATACAGAATAAACTTGGGTTAACAAAAAGAATTTTTGCAAAGAGGAGATAGCATTAAGGAATCGTAGTTCCTGCACGCTTGTTTCAAAAATCCGATTGGTTTTTTTTTCCATTGTTTTGAGTGTTGAACAGTTATATGTTTGCACATGATCTATTATAATATATCCATCATTTCATGTAACCTTCGTCACTCCTAGTCAGTGTAGATCGTTTTCAGAGTAGCTTATTAGTGACAGTGGCGAGTCATCTGCGTTCCTGCACATTGTCCTATTTTTTCAAGGCCACCGGAAAAAAAAAACACTGATAAAATTTGTCGATTTCGAAAGACGATCTGGCCAGTTAGTGTTAGTCAAACTTTTCCAATATTTCATAGAATCACAAGAAGTACATTCTAGGAGTAGACAGAAATGTGTCTTACGTCAATTCTTGAGATAATGATTGTTGCGGTGCATTCATTAGCGATACAGTATTTCCTCGTAATAAAAAGCAAGATTTTCCACTTCAAGAACTATGAAATGGAGAAATATCGAACACAGCTCACTGTCGAAAGCTTTTATCTTTTTTAAAAATCATTTCTGCTCTATTCGACATAGCTGTAGTCACAATTCTACCTTTTCCATTCAACACCTTATTTGGTACAACAAAAACTAGAGTAAAATGAGTATTGAATTGTATTCACATGCTGGATTCGGTTCTTGGTATAAATGATTACATTCAGAATCAATTATTGACGAAGTTTTGGAATTAACCGTGGTCACTTAAAATTCCAGTACACTGATTATTTGTGACCTGAAGGTAGACACTATATAATTTACTTGGCTTCATATTTATTTCTTCTAAGTTATCTTCATTACTTTTTCAGGCGATGATATGCAAATGTCAAAATAGTAATTTCAAAAAGTGAAAGTTGTAGTTTATCCCGATCGATATATTTCTCGTTCTTTCGAATACGTGTAGCATTGAACTTTCCCTAGTTTGTATTATTTGTATTTCTTTACCATGAAGTATTATTATGCTAGTAGCAAAAGTAGAATGATTATTTTCCACATATTTAAGCAAATATGTAGTTCTTTGACTTATTTTTTTCTCAACTGTCAAGAACCGCAAACATCTGTTTACTTTCACATAATTTTTTCATGAGTTCACTTTTTTCTTTTTCTGTTTGTGAAGTTCAATTTTGGTAGAATCCTCTCTTTCTTTAGTTGAAATTTCTATTTGCGATTAATTTTATCTATATTTTAAAGTTATTTTGTCATTTACTCCAGATTTACATGAATGCTGCTAATTTCTTTGCTTGATCGATCGATTAAACTTTTTAGATTTATGTATGAGTGCCATTTTAAAGCTCCTTCGCCAGATTGTTCTTTCAGCACTGCCAGAATTGTTCCACAGTGTTTTTTTGGAATATCCAAATATCCTCAGACTACTGCATAAGCTATTTTTTTAACAAGATAGCAATGCTTTGAATATCGTACATAAATTCATCCAAGTTCACTCATTAATGCTTTAAAATAGTTCACAATTCCAGTTAATACTACAAATTTCTATAAAATTGTTTTAGTTGTAATTTCGAAAGTTTCATAAGCTGACTAAAACTAACAGATTAAGTTGAATGTTTAACATTTCCCACTCAAAATTTTAAAAGATCATCTGCTTCGGTTTTCAGTAACAGAAGATTATTATCAATGACATTATTTTTTTCCTCTGCTTGACCTTTCTGAAAGAAGACATTGTTAACTATGTGGAATTCTAGGCAATCCTTACTACGAAGAGAATATTATATAAGTTGCAATTCATCTTGGTTATTCTTGTTAAGTTGGGATTTCAATCACATATCGTTGTCAATCACCTGTATTTTTTGTAGGTCTTTGATTAGCCCATGGTATTATTGAATTTCTTCGAACATTGTTATGATAATTATTGGTAATTAGTAGCCTTAACGAGCGCAAAAACAGGCCTAGAGCTCGCTAAGTTATTAATTTTTATTGGAAAAGAAAATATTGCAAAGCTAGATACATGTAATTTATAGAGGAAACCTAATATAACTTAGGGTTTCGAACAAATGATTGGTTTTTTCGACAAGTAAAGAATGGTGAAAGGTATTTAAAGGATAATCGATGGCAAAAATTATTGGAAAAAAAATACACGAAACGAAATGTTTATAACATGAAAGTAATATAAATTTCTAAATTCTAAACAATATAGACAACCGCACTGAAATAATATCTCAAAAAAGTGTAAAAATTTTCTCTTTGGTTGATTGGGAAAAATTGACAGCTGATAGTTTATTTGAACCATATGAATTGTCATCAGATTCTTCAAATTTGTAACAGCAAAATCATAGATTGTGAATTTTAGTAAAAAAAAGAAGACAAATTAGAAATGGTCGTTTTACAAGAGAATGACCAATGCACCGTTGAGACACATATGAGCTAATATATTTAGCAGAAAAAAGCGCGAAGTGTTTTTTTGTTACGAAATTTTTTTTAAATAATTTTTACGGAGAGATGAAAGAATATATTTAAAGGATGGTGATAAAGTTGTTCATCTCTTTTGCAGCATTTACATTGTGTGACGTAAGCCATTCATTCTATTCCTCGTAGTTCCTGCACGCTTATTTCTAGAATACGATTGGTTTTCTTTTCAGTTTGTTTTGAATGTTGAACGGTCGTATGCTTTACACATGATTGGTCTATTATAATATATCTATCGTTTCATGTAACGTCATTAGTGCACTTCGTCATTCCTAGTCGATAGATTGTTTTCAGAATGGCTTACTAGGGACAATTGAAGATTCATTTGGATTCCTGCATATTGTACTGTTTTTCAAGACTGCTGGGAAAAAAATATCAATAAGACTTGTCTGTTATCCGGTCAATTAGCGTTAGTCAAGTTTTTCAAATATTTCACAGAATTACAGGAAGTGCATTTTAGGAGCAGGCAGAAAATGTCCTGCGTCAATTCTCCTTGAGATAATAATCTTGTTGCGGTGCAATCGTTAGTGATACAGTATTTCATCGGAATAAAAAGAACGAAAACAAAGAGGAAAAGTGAATGTACACGGCTCACTGTACAAAATTTCTATATGCTTTTTTTTACAAGTCACTTCTACTCTGTTTATGTATTAAACTAATAATATTACTGCGCATTTTGAATCTTTTATTTATTTCTATGTTCTCATTTATTTCAGGCCTAAACGAAGTAGGAATCTGAAAATGAAGGCTAAAATAGTAAAAGATATATTATTGATTGGTCATTCGTTCATTTATTTGGCTGCACTAACCTCGCTCTACTGGCAGATACCAGGTATAAAATTTATGTGATTTCTGAATTCTAAATTCATCGCTTTTTTTTTCAGAAATTATTGACCAAACTTTTTAGAATTTTTAATTTTTTAATCGCCAAAAAAAGTTACATGATCTTAGGGGGCTTTCTTTGTACTTCATCGATTATTCGGTAAAATTTTCCAGGGCTTTATGGAGAAAAAGGACTGATCCCAGTGGCATCGAAATTTTCTTGTGGTGGGTTATTTTTGCTTTTTAAATTGATGGAGACTGTGAATTTATTCCTCAGAACTTCTATTCTAAGGTGTCTCTGAAAATTCATTAAAAATTTATCCATTTCTATACATGAAAATAGAGATGAAATTTATTCATTAGGCAAATATATTCTCGCCAATCGGTCATCCTTATTTTCTAAGCAGTGTTTCCATTTTTACTGCTATCATTTCTATACATGAAAATTTAAAAATCTTGGGATTTAAAAATCTGATGATATTAATTGCTTCTCCTTTTCTTTTTTTCTAAAAAAATATTGTCTAAATGAATGTTTTTCATTCTTGCTACAAAACGGCTGCATTTTTTATTTTCTCCTCATTCAGCGTTAAAGTGCATTGTTAATTTCATAAGTTATACGTTCTTTGCAGTTCTCAATTAAAATTTGAAAGATCTGAATATTTACCTAAGCCAAGCCAAGTTCAAATAAAAGGAAATTTGAAAGCAATATTTGCTTTTCAGATAAATCATCATGTCATTCATATCAAAATGGCGTGAATATTTTGCCAATTGTAATAAACTTTTTCTGCATAGCACCATCCTATGCTTTACAAGTTGTTATTTTGTTCGGAATAGCGATTGCTTCTCTCTCCATAATATTCGACTTCATCCGTAATACCATCACTTATCTTTTTCTATTTGTCATCTATTCTACCGCAATTCAGGTTAATATTTAACTCGAATTAAATCAGTTTGTAATCACATATATTACTTTCATAAACAATTTATCTATAAGAAAGAATTATGCACGCCAGTTTGTGTTACTTAAACTTGAGTTGCTTCACCGATTTATTGTTGAGCAGCAAAATTCAATCTGAACTCTACAGGTTGGCGATGTATTTCTTCAGTTCCAGTGGGATAGTCTTCTTATAGAGTCTGGAGCATTGTGCATTCTCATAGCTCCGTTGCCATTCGTGGGATCTTCACCAGCAGATAATATTTCGTTGTACCTGATGCGCTGGTTGGTGTTCCGGCTTATGTACTCATCGGGCGTGGTCAAACTCACTAGCCATTGTCCTCTTTGGTGGGATCTCGCAGGTATGTTTTATGAAAACCTAAAAATTAACACAAATTCATTGGAATTCCATTTCTTATTAAGTAAATAAGTTCATTAAATAATTTAAAATTTCACAGCACTGGACGTACATTTCGAAAGTCAGTGTGTGCCCACATGGATTTCCTATTACGTTCATATGTTTCCAAAATGGTTCAAGCATTTGTCAACCGCTCTCACACTTCATATTGAAATTATTTTGCCGCCTTTGTTTTTATTGCCATTTAAATATGCACGATATTTCTCGTTCGTCCCTCAGGTTTTTTTTTCGTGAATTTTTCTGCCACTTATTTAATTAAATTTTTATCAAGAATTCCTTTAAAGATCTTACTTATGAGTTTGATTATGGCAACGGGTAACTACAACTTCTTCAACCTCCTTATATCAATCGAATGTGTAGCAATATTGGTGGATTCAGACGAATTCAAATTTTGTAAGCATTTGGTTTTTTTCATGCTTTCTCGGTATAAAGTTATAAAGTTGATAAAGATTAATAACAGCTACCAACTGGCGCATTTTCGCATTATAATATCTTATAGAATGTGATTTTAACTTTAAATATTAAAACTAAATAATTTGAATCGTTGTGACCGGAATTGAACGTAACAGAAAAATGCACGTTGCCTTAATTAAAATTGATACGCTACTTATTTTTTGTTCTATTACATCATCGATGATTGTTATATTAGTTATAAAGTTTAGTTTTTTAGCTACAAAGGGCATATATCCACGATTTGAGCGTTCGTTGACATTTTTGGGAACACTGATATCAGCTATTTTTATAATATCAAGCCTATGTTTTTTCGTCTACTATTTTAATGTTGGTATTGATGGATTTAAAATAGCGTCCTCAATCGGTTGGTGCTTTTTTCGTTTTTTATTTTTTAGATAAAAATTACTGAATTTCATTAGATTATAGTTGACTCTTTAATCACAGTTGTTGTCGTTCTTTTCTGTGACTATTTAGGGTTTGATTGCAATCTTTCAGTTACTGTAGACCTCAAACTTGGGTAATTAAACCTTTAACAATAATAGTAAACACAATGTTAAACAAGAAACAAGCGGTACAAGATGAAACCAAACATATAACCTCAAAAAAGAAGTAGAACGAATGATGATTTGATGCCTTATATAGGCGAAGTATACATGCGTACTATAACGTGGGAAAATAAGGAAAGATATTGGAGGATATAAGAGCAAAGGAGATCATGTAAGACAATAATGGAGGCGAGGATAGGAACGGATATGAAAGTACAAGATGAATCAGTTGATAGTGTAATTTGGTTGACAGGAACATCAACATTGACACGTATTAACATGCATTAAGATACAGTAATATTCCTTACTACAATTACAATAAAATATATCCTTTCACGACAAAAGGAATTGCTTCTCTTTAAAATTTTAATCCAAAGCAAAGAAATTAATTCTTCTTTGGTACTTCTCGCTTTTCAGCGACAACAGCAATATAAATTCTCTTGTTAAAGTCAGTGAAATTTTCAAGCTTTTCAGCATTCACTATGCAACAGTTTGACGAATTTGTTGAAAAATCGACTATTTGGTTATTATACATTGGAGTCATTGGCTTCTTCGCTGAAGTTATTGCTGCAGTACTAAGGTAAATTATGTTGAATTGTGGTATCAAGCATATAAGTAATTACATAAGTTAATAATCATTTCTAATTTTCTTAAATCTTAGGTACTTCACCGAAATTCATGAATCAAAATTACTTTCATTACTCCATCTGGTTTATGTAATCATCGTTGCAACTTTCTTCTTTTCAATCAGTACCGTATGTTCCCAGTTTTTTTATCTAAATAATTTTAGTGGAATATATATTAAAAATACAAATTCATGAAAAATTTTGCTAGATCTCAGCGAAGCATTCAGCACGATCAAATTTCTATCATAGATGGCTTGAATTAGTCATTCTTTTCGAAAATTTAGCGGAATTTCTAGATTTTAGGATTTTATATTTGGGGCCCTTCTGACATTATTTTAAATGTTTGCGGAATCCCACATTTCAAATTTATTTTTAGTATTAGTAATTTAATCATATGCTTGTTTCACGCATTTTAAGATCTGTGGATTCAGGTATCATTCGTTGTCATAAGTAATCAATCACAGTCACAGATTCCTACTATAGTGAAGTATATGCATCATTATTCGAAATCCTACGGACTGACTCATTCATACGGTTTATTCAGAAGGTAAGGTGTCTTTCCCAATTTTTAGTCTACAAAAGCATAACATATCATCTTTCGTTTAGTTATGAAAAAAACTTTCCAGATTAAATGAAATTGTAGGATGACTGGTTTGCATGGTCGACCGGAAATAATCTTAGAAGGTTCTTATGAACTGAATGGTTCTTGGACTATGTTTGATTTCTATTCAAAGCCTGGGAAACTCGATGAAAGACCGCGATTCGTATGTGAGAGATTATATATTGTCAAAATCTTTTTACTAATGCATTTCTTTGCTGTTAGGGTTAACTACTATTTCTTTGAATTGAATTGAAAGGTCAAATAGTATTAATGTTGAACACTAATTTCAATATGGAAGATTTCGATTGAAATCTTAATGTTTTTTATCATAATTTATAATATGTTGTATACGGCAAACAAATAATGACAATTTTCTTTTTTAGTGCCGCATCAGCCGCGTTTAGATTGGCAAATGTGGTTTGCCGCTTTAGGAACGTATCATAATAATGCATTCTTTCTTTCTCTTGCTTATCATTTGTTAAGAAATAATTCAGAAGGTAAAGTATTTTTCTTTTAATTTGAAAAGGTGCGATTAGATATGAATATAAATTGAAATTGAATTTATTGAAGGTTATAGTTTTCAGACCTGTCATATTTTCTTATATTTCGTTAGGTGCTATAAATTCCAATCTCATAAAGGCTTACAAAAAAATTTTTCAGTTACTTACCTCATGAAGAAATATCCATTTGAAGCGAAACTTCCGAATTTTATTCGAGCAGATCTTTATCTTTATCATTACACCAAGATCAGTTTGAAGTAAGTTATATTGTGTTGATAGTGGAGCCTATTTTCATAATAAGGATTTTTCGTATATTTCAATTTATTTTGTCACAGGGATGAATGGCCTAAGGACTATTGGCGACGTGATTTCCAGCAAAAATACCTACCAACAATTACTCGCGAAGACACAAAATTATCCGACTATTTGCACGAAAATGGCTTCGTCCTTAAAGTAATTTCTCATACAGTTTTGTTCATCGTTTATTTCAGGTGGTAAGTTTTTTAAGTCCGTTTAACGAAACAAATCAAGATATTTTCCATTTTGAAATTTCATTTCAGAAACAGTTTACATTGAAAAACCAGAATTTTGACTTGGAAAACAAATTACAAACTCTACATGGTTTTGTTCGAACACTCAATCCGACTACATTTGTTGATTCAGTCATTGTTGCCCATGTAGTTTTATTTGTAGCACATATCAAATTCAAAAAAGTTACAATTGTACAATGATTTTATTGTACAATCATGCATTATGAATTGAGTTACATTGTTATTTTATGTTTATGAATAATCGCGTTATATTATGCAGATAAGTATTAATTCTTGAATTGACAAGTTTTTGAAATCCTGGCTAATGCAATTGCATGCATGTCCAGTAACCAAAATTTCTTAACATCCTCAAAATCATTATTGTAGGTACTGGAATTGAGTGAACAATGTTTTAATGAACTGTAAAGTTCATAGAAGCGAATGCTGCAATATATATATTGTTTGATAAAAGTGAACAAGGTTAACTAGTGTCAGATTGTATATTGAAAGTGAGGATTTTTTTTGTGTATGTTTGTGTGTGTGTGTGTGTGTGTGTGTGTGTGTATGTATGTATGTATGTGTATGTATGTGATTGTATGCGAAATGTAGGGTGATTGAAGCCTTCATTTTCCTCGATCTTCAGATGATCTAACACGATATGATCAACTTGTTTTGATTACTGGTAAACTTGTTATGTTGTTTACAATGAAATTCAAACAACATATCGCGGCGATAATGTCAGTTATTTTTCAGATTTCTTGTTTAGCTTTGTTTTATGGAAATCGATAGCATGCATTAAAAGCTCAGTCATTCATTCATATCGCAAAAAATAAAATATTATTTTGCTTGAAATAATTTAAATTTCCTATATGAAACTTGCATATGAATTTACTCTTTCCATCACTTTCGATTTCTGTACACTAATATTTAACTCTTTTCCCATCATTTTGCATTCTAATTCTTCGCTGTGATGACATTTTAACACCGCCATAAAATATAATTCAGAAATTTTACAAAAAAGATTAAATGCTTTTGTTTCTTGTCGTCAACTCACATATTCTCTTTCAAAAATTTACAGATTATCACAATGTGACTGAATTAACAGAGATTTTCTCCGTGCAAAAATTTTGATTCTACTGCAGACTGTACCATACAATATTTTACATTTGATTTTTGTCAGATGAATTACTACATAATTCGTTACGTGGATATATCATTAATAAGTCGTCTCTAATTAGCGAAGATAGGATAATGATGATAGAGGAAAACAATTTGCGGAGGATACGGTCCGTCATTTCGGAATACATATAGCTAACAATAAAAGCTAACTCGATAACAGCAATATCAGTGTTCATGACTTCATCGAGATTACGGAGATATATCATCCGTTTCTTTCAGAATATACTTTTTATATAGTATTGAAGTAAGCCTTTAATTTAAATCATTACCGTGAATCTATTAATTTGGTTTTGTCCCATTATTGCACCATGTCGCTGCAATTTAAATATTTTATTTTGTTTAATAACACACGATTTTATTTTAGAATCAAATAATCGTATTACTCCTACTTGTATTAATTTTTAAAAGCACAAGCACAGGCATTAATTTCTTCGGCTATTTTTCTTTCTTTTAAAAAAAAATGTCAAACATGCTAAAAAATGTCAGCATTCTGCTAACACTGTGTTTAAATTTAGGTTAAAACAGGAAAACAATTTTGTGTCTATTTATAAGTTATGGTTAATATTGTATGATATGTTCAGTCACTGATAGTAATTGTGATAAAAAAACTGCTTGATAAAATCATGGAAATACATGATTACATTATGATGTATTTTAAGCATATTATATTGTCACTTTTTACAGCTATTCAGATAAATTCCATCTTATGCCAATAAATTCTATGATAAATCCATAAAATAATGTAATGAAAAAATATTAGATTAACGAAGACTTAAAATATTCTATGTAAAGCTTTTAAATTCATTGATTGCTTGTGCTGTTAATATTGAGGTCAATAAAGTGAGAGAAAGAGCGATTAGCAGGTTAATAATGTAAATAATAAATCCATGTTGTGTGAAATGGTATAAAAAGGATAGAGGATAAACAGAAGGAATTGATTCATACTGTTATTAATTAGATAATGGATTAATTTTTTGCTATATTCCAATAAAAAATTTCATTTCAATATCCTCTGACTGTTACTTTTCCAACTTTTTAGTCTTACCATTTCCTTCCTGATCCTTTTGGTAAACTTTGCTAAGTTACATCATAAAAACAAGTCTGCTCATCTTGCTTGTTTATACTTATTTTTTCTTATTTGCAATTTTCATCCTTCCAATCCGTCTTCTTAGTGATGCTTCTCCTCCAAATATTGCTTTATTTCCTCGGTATATTTATTTTGACTATTTTTTAAAATACCGATTTTTTTGTCTTTGATAAAACTTCAATAATTTAACGAGACATCTACACCTTTTACTTCACTGCTGAGGAAAAAGATGCCCAAAAACTATTTATATTGCTGTAGTATAATTGATTTAGTTATCAAAATATACTTAGCGAGTGAAAATATCCATTATTTGTTATATGAGTCATCAAACATTTCCTTTTTTCTTTTTTTTTCTTTTCGAAGACTGTAACTGTAAACATTTCCTTTCGAAGACTGTAAACATTTCCTTTCGAAGATTGTAACATTTCTCGAGAACTCGAGATTTATTTAAGAGATTTGGGATTTACTTGATAGTAGAAATACTTTTGTGAATTTACTATACTGGAAATGAGCAATAACATTGTCATTAAATAGTAAACATTGCAATTGAAAAGGCCAGTCAAAATAGGCGTAGAATTTCATAAACATACATGACATTCTAATCCTGCAATATATGCATTTTTTCAGTTAAGTATAGCATTAATCACAGATATGTGGAAGAAATCACAAAACAATAATGTCAGATCACGTAGCAAGATCGTAGCAAAGATCAGCTTATTTCCCTAATAAAAAGAATTATTTTTGTGTTACTGATAGTTTTTTATCAACAAATAGTATTGGATGATAGAGACAGAGGGATACAATCCCACAATTCATTACAATCATTAAATTATTATCGTAAAGAAGGATATGGATATGCTTTTGGATATTATTATAATACGACACCGTACAATTATAACTACAATCGCAATCGGTACTATGGTCCCAGCAGTAATCAAAATGGCATTTATGATAACAATCGTTATGGAAATTATCAAAATTTGGTAATTTTTTACAGTTCTTGTGTGTTTTTTTTTAAATGATTTCTTGTTTTTGATAGTTTTCATCTTTTTTCAACATTTTCAATTTCAGTTATGATAATTTTATTTAGCTGACATTTATTTAAACAATGATATACTTTATTCTTATTTTCTAATTAAAAAATTTTTTTAGTATCCTTCTGACTGCAGCGATTATAATCAACGACGAATAAATTCGTGCGCTTATATGTTGACGAAATTAGACGCATTCCAACAAACAACCGGATTGGTTGAAAAACTTACGATGTGGAATATTTTTAAGAAATCTCGAGATGAACTGCTAAGTATTTGCGAGTAAAATATTTCTAATAACTTATCAGATAATTTTCGCAACAATCTTACAACTGTGCAAAAAACTTTTTTTTACTTCAATTTACTATTGTTTAACAAACATTGCACGTTATGACAACGTGCAATGGACTGTTTTTAGTGCTTATAATCAGTACATTGAATGTATTGGTGGTAATTCCATAAAGCAATTGTGCTACTCCCGAGAACCATTTCGCAGTCGCTATGCTACAACTGACAATGCATTGAGTTATGCATGCGGTGAAGGATATCCGTGTTTGTATTCTTCGAAATTATTTTAATCCAAAAATTTAACAATTTTAAGTATTATAGATGCATAATTTGCGAACGATCATTTTAGAGCATTCATATACCTCACGATACAATTTTAAAGAGTAATGTGAACAAATATGGGTGGAAATTAAATAAGAATTGAAAATGTTTGAACTATTTATGAAATAAAAATTCTGAAAGTTAAGATTTAAATGGGAAATAAGCGGTTCAGAAAAATCGCGATATTTGCAGTTCTGTATACGAGCTGGTATTGTATTCAAGAGGTGGCAACAGGTACAACATACATGAAATGCATCAATATCGTTAGAGCTGAACAGAAAATGGATTATTATCAGCTGTTGCCAAACTTATTAAGTGCTTGCAGGTCTCCATCTTGAAATCTTCTCTTTAAAACAGTTCAAGCTAAAGAATGGAAATTAAACTTACATTAGCTTCTAATCTAGCAGAGATTTGGAAATTTTCAGAAATATTTTCTTTTTAGCAATTTGCAAGCATACGTTCATTGCATCCGACCAGCAGTTGAAAATCGTTGTGGTCGACATGCATACTTCGCTGTTCTTATGGTAAAATATTGACATATTTTAAATTTGATAATGATATTTTCATTAGCATGAATTAACAGAACTGTTCGCCCATCCAATCCAGTGGTTGTTTGGATTCTTCTTAGGTATTAACTTATCTGTAATAGGCCTGTGACGGCCTTTAGATTATTTGCTTGTCAAGCGACTACCGATTGCTCCAATCCACCTGCATTAATCCCTCAACAAATCGAATGTTATTGATTGGAGATCTGTAGAATCGGAATGGAATTTGTATTGTGAAAATTTCTAAATTCCATGGAAATTGACTGGATTCTAGTTTACCATTTTTGTAAAATTTAACAAATTTACAGACAATACGCCGTTCGGGTGAAATGGTGTTTCCGTATTGTACATTGGCTGCTACGTGGTATACCTATTCAGTAGCCCTCCATGTCATCTTTGTTATTATTGCATATTTCTTTTCATCAATATTGTAAATGCCCATCAATTTGAGATATACGCTAATAAAATTGTGCTAATGTTGTACAAGTGAGTTATTACAATACGAGTGTTGTCTAAGGCACACGAAAGTTATTAATGTCAGGGATATCGATTGCATTTTATGTAAAACAGAGGAACAATCAGAGAGATCTAAATGATTGTTGAAACTTCAAGACTGCTTAATGAAGTTGAATGCAGATTCAGATGCATGTGCACTCTCTGGATTCTTATTAATTGATCAAGAATTGCAATTTCGAGTGAAATAGGAGTAACAAAGTAAATTTTTGATACGAAGTTTATGAAGAGATTTGAAGGATGGAATGGGAAAACGCTGGAAATGACGATGACAATGTACGTCTAAAAATGTCAAGCGCAATTGATAATTTTCCCAGCTGAAAGAAGTGTCATACCGATTCCCACAACATTGCCAGGTACTTTGGAGATGTCAGTTGCATTGGAGGGCCATATTATAGAATTTACATGTGTAGTGGTCGTGACGTGGAGGGGGGGGGGTAATTTTTTACGTAGTTTTGGTTTGCATTTGGTGCATTGAAGTTTGAATGTCCGCATTCATAATATACGAGTTAATAGATAAATCTCTCTGGATAACGGAGGAGAATCAGTAATGGTTAATTTCGCAAACCGTGCATTTTAGATGAAACAAGCGAAGTAATTGGATAAAATCATAAACTTATTTCACATTAACAGTTGAATTTTAAGTGTTCAATTGATTCGAAGTCGAGTAATAATACTTCAAAGATTTATTGAATTGACGAGTGTTTATCATAGATAATTATAAAAAATGTAAACAACCGAGAATTAGGTAGTCCTGACCATTATATGAATGAAATGGGACAGTTCAATAGTTACTGTTGTGATTCTTGGAATAGATCGTGCTTTTTTGAAATTAAAACCGTAAGATTTACTATGAAAAAATGGTACTCATTATGTTCAAATAAGGAATTGATGGTGTATAATCCTTCTTTTTTGTCATCTTTTTTTCAAAACTCAAAATTGTTTTAATAGTAAAAAAAACGAAATTGATTATTATGACTGTAGGAGCTTTATGGATGTTGTTGAAGTGGTCAGGCCATTAATGGATGTGGCTTTCAATGCCGTGCAAAACTGCTGAATGCACTTATGTTCCAGGTGGTACGCTTTCTTCATTTCCTACATTGGATAAATCATTCTCTTAAGCGTGATTTATAATTGGTCTATCATTTTAAATTTTTAACTTGATCATGTTGCAGTTTACGAAAAGATGGTCAAATTGTTGGAAGTTTGAAGAAATTATTTTTAATGGTTGGATGTAGACATGGAAACGGTAAATCATAATTTTTCAGGCAGTGCTGAATGCATCACTGATTTGGTTACGAAAGAAAGCAGTGCTGAAGGTAAATAATTGAATATAATCATTTTGTCTCATTCTTACTACTAAAGAAAGGAATAAGTGGCGGTAGTTCTCAGATTACTTGTTCGGATTCTTTTTTACCTGAGAATAAATTCTGCAGTTATAATGTATAAGATTATTTGCAGGTGTGGAAAGTGATAAATGGGCAGAAAAGTTCTGCCAAAAATTTATTAATAATTTGACCATGCGCTCATTTATTGCATCGCTTGTGTTGTCTATTCTTCTGCTGAATTTTGATGCCTTTTGGTATGTCTTTGTCTTTTATTAGGTACTAAAATTTCGTCTAGCGTCTTATCTCTCGATATTTTAGTAATTCGAGTGGTCAATTGAGTCAGCGGGAATCAGCTCCACCGAGACCATTTTTCCCACTCAGTTCGAAGAAATACCTTGTTGACCATTATACTGGTAATGATGCAGAACCAGAGAATCTCTTATATAACTCTGAAATTGTTGTTGTCATGTATTATGCACCATGGAGCAGGCGATGCACCAGAACACGTATAATCTTCGAAAACGTTGCTAGAAGCTTAAGTGCATCTTCTGATGTAAGCTTTTTTGTTACTCAATATTTCTTTCTCTGTATGTTTTAAAGATGTCAAACTTTGCAGTATTGCTACTAAAATTTTCAATCTTGGAAATGCAGTTTAAGAAAATTAAGTCAGTAAAGGTTTTCGCAGTGCAGTTCAGTTATCCCTTCTTACCTATAGTCCAGGGTTTACTGACTTCTTTGGCCTTAGGAGTAGAGAATTTGAATGACATATTAAATCATTAAATATTTAATCATTGTTTTGTACACTAGAAAGAAGAGTTGTTTGCTTATAAGTTAATAATGATTTATTAAGTTAATGAGCGGAACGTTTGATTCTAACGGATGATAATTTATACCTTTTAAAGTTGCCGAATATCTTGAACTTTTTAAATTTCTTCACCATATGAAAATATGTTCTTAATATTTTCGTGCAGATATCATTCGCAGCAGTCAACTGTTTTTTTCCGCATGGAGAATGCAGAAAATCTCATAAAACTTACACATATCCTGTCATCGTTGCTTATATCGGAAAGCAAAGTTTAATGTATACTGGTTTATTAGCATCAGATTACATATATAGGTAAAGCTCGTTTTCATCTCCGTCCACTGCATATTTTCATTTTAGTCTCACAGACAATTTTATCAACCATTTATTTGTAACTTTCAGTTTGGGCAAATACTCATATGTTTGTCAATTTAGATGGATATCACGTTTGCGAAACCCTGTTCATCGGCTTATAACTCCATTCGCTCTGCAAAGCTTTATCGATGAATTTGATGATGCAGTGATTGCATTTTTCCATGCGGAGGTTAATTTCTTCGAAATTTCCAAAAAGATAATTCATTTAGAGTTTTTCTGATAGTTTTGTAAATAAAGTTACTTATGTCTTTTTCCAGGTGGCATTTGCTATATCATATGAATTTCAACAATACATCGAAGCAGCATTAATTGTTTTCCAACGTCGTACGTTTCTTCTAGATTTTAGAAGCTCTCATTTGCAAGCGCTTTTCAAATCTCCGAATCCCAGCTTGGTCTCTTTTGATTATTATCTCTTTCTGATTATTCGAAATCAGATTCCAATTTTTTTCGAGTCTCGTGAATTTCTCTTGAGGATGAAAGTTTTGTTAAAAATTAAAACGAATTCCAATCTGTATAGGCTAGACTCTTCTTTAGCCCCAATTTTTCAGTTCTGATTTGCACATCCATATTATTTTTCATATTTTATGCTTGATTTGCAGAGTGAGAGAGATGTGTTGAAATTGGAGATATATTTTTATTTGCATGTTAGATTACTGGAATATTTCTAGAAGATTTACTTGATAAAGTTGGGTTTGCTGTTGTGACAAATTCGAGCTTAGCAATGAGCATAAATTCGTCACCAAAAACATGGATTCAGCTGAAATCCTGGAACCGCACTTACGATTATAATGAATCAAATATGACTGCTCATAAAATTTTCGAATGGGTTAAAAACCAAGCATTCGAATCAAGTGGCCTTCAGTGGATTAGTCCAGGTTGTGATTTATAGTTACATTTTTATTTTAAACTTGGAGAATTTTTGACAGTTATTTTCTCAAAGATTTTTGTTTCAGAAATGAATGGTATTGCAAAAAGTGAGGAGTTACTATCAATTTTACAGCATGGTGCAACAGTTGTGGTATTTTTGGATCGTCAGGTGCTTTATCTCCACAGCTGGACAGTTTCAGTGGTGAAACAGGTTAATTGAAATTTAGTGGATTTTGAAGAAATCTTATTGAAGTCTCATGAATTATTATTACTTGCCAAATATCATTTCGTCAATACATTAAATGTTTTGACCGGGAAAGAAGGGTTAGTTTTTTACCTCTTGATTCTCGGTCTAGGGATCACGAATTGACAAGGTATTTTTTAACCTAAACAAAAGGGAAGGGATGTTGTAAATAGTGGATATGTTTGTTATTATTGGTAGTGTTTTGTTTATCGATCCTGCCTGATCTTTAGTTCGAAATCTTATTATCACTGTGTTCAAATCGAAGTAGGATGCAGTAGCTGGGGAGGTACCTCAACTATTTTCCGTCATGGTATTGTTTTCAGACCATCATGGAATATTACTCATGTGGTGCAGACTTAACCAATCAAATGAAATCTAGATCGAACAAACTTATTGCACTGGTTAATGAAAGAAGTCAAATAATTACAATGAGCAGTCACAAATGCCAGAAAATCAATGCCCATACTGCGGAGGTATTTTATTTTCATTGACATTAGTAAAATTTTTTGTCGGAAAATATTTTCCTTGATTTTGCGAATTACATTAGTTAACTTAAATTCTTTCAGATCCGTAAGTGCTGCATGACAGAGAAAAGTTTGATGTCTCGTTGTTTCCAGTGTCGATCCAAACGAGCAATGAATTTTTCGAAAAGTGGAAGTTGCAGCCAATTTCTATTGTTCTTTTATAATGCTTACTCGTCACTGTTTCATAATGTTCCTTGTTTATCCGTCCTTTCGACTTTAAGTGAAGGTTTGTCCTACTCGGATTATTTCATGAATGAATAATAACTTCACAGAAATGCAGCGTACCATTTACTTTGCTTTGGATGCAGTGAGTATTCAAAAGAGCGTTTATATCTTAAAGGAATTCGAAATGACAAGATCTTATAAAATGAAATAAAATATTTTTTCAGAGCAACTGATGAATGTTTGCTGTGCACTGTTAATTTCAAAAAGTCAAAATTTTGATATATCACAGAACACACTTGAACAGTGTGCCAAATATAGGCTTGCTCGAAATCTTTATCGTCACATTTCTGGTCCAGCCCCATCTACTTATTACCCGTTTGATGCAACATCGGTCGCGGGCCTTTCATGTGACAAAAATAATTCGCTACGGTTGGTGGGTTACCACTTCATTTTTCCCCTGTTGTGAAGTTAATTATTTCATAGATTTTGGTTATGCATGTACGATGCATTTTGTCTCCCATGCTTACTGGTCAGAACTTGCACTTTGAAGGTTGCAGTTAATTATAAGATTTTGAAAAGCTAGCTCTTTTGAACAATTCTGACATACCTTAAATTAGCTTGCAATGTGCTGTCAGTGATTTAGATTTATCGGTGTTGATGGTCGATATGGTGATTATATACTAAAGCGATTGAGGAGACCATACAATGGACGAACTGTCGCATTGATTGTGGATCCGAGTACTGAAAGAACTTTTTTTATGCAAGCCGAGTTTTCCAGGTGGGAAGACTTTCCAAACCTTATTACACTCAATTCGTTCAAATTTGTATAATATATAAGTCTCACTTAACCATTATTATGTTTTGCAGCTGACTTGTTCGTAATCGTTCTAGTATTCTGTAAATAGGATAAATTTTGGTTTATTTTCTTCAAAAAATTTTTAGGCATACATTCCGCGACTTCTTACGCGCATTTCATAATGGTTCATTGATGCCGCACGTAATTTCCCAGGCTTTACGGAAAAAACCGGAAAATTTGACATATAATTTGTCTGTTTTACCGAGTACCAATGCAAAATCATTTAGAACAGATGTTGTGAGCATATTAGACTTCTTATTTCTTTTATCACATTGACGTTTTCATTTCGCATGAAATTTTTACTTGATAGACTTGATTTTAAAAATGTTTTCTTTGAAATGAATTTTAAGTTTGTCAACTGACTCATAATAATTTGAAATTAATTTTAAGTTTGTCAACTGACTCATAATAATTTGGTGTATCTGTATATTGTATTTTAAAATGTTGTGAAACATTTTCAGAACTCGTCTGAAGATATCGTGGTATTTTTCTCTGGAGGAAATTGGCATGGACCAAGTACTTCCGTAATTCATGTTTACCATTCAGTGGCCCACTACTTTTATCCGTTTCATAGATCAATCAAATTTTATATGTATGGTTTATTTGTTATACGCTTAGAATTAGTACCGAGTGATTTATTTGTTCAGCTTCTATTCTTGTTTTCGAAATTACCTTCAAACGAAGTTGTTATTGCGAGAAAAGTGGCCAATTTTTTAGAATTGATGTTTCGTTAAACGATCTGCCGTGGCAGTTTCAAATGGATACATTGCCCACAGTGTTGTTTTTTCCTGCAGGAAGGTCAGTAATTATTTGATATCAAAACTTTCATAAAATGGAAACTTCAATAAATTTATGTGTTTATTCCTTAGTTACATACTTTTCAGGAAATCATCTTCGTCACGATTTCCGGCTTTAGTTCCACTTACGGTGCCAAATTTGATAGCATTCATCGTGACGAGATGTCAGAAAGAGTTGCGATGGCAGTTAGCTCTTTCTTCTTGTTCACTGTTATGTATTAAAAGGAACAGCCTACGTTTGCAAAAGATTGCTGTCATGGTAAGGAACGATATCACATTACTGAGGTTACGTGCGTCTTCCAGCTACGAACATTCTCAACTTTTTCGACATTTAATACGGAGGTAACTTTCCGGTTTGTACAGTGAAGATCTAGACTTTTAAGGTTTTGTGCATAAAATAAATATGTGGAAACAATCGATATCATTCACTTCTTTAATGTAGTGACTTTGGAACACTGTAATATAAAATGTTTTTAAAACACTTTCTTTTTTCTTTTTCCAGGCGCTTTGAACAACTTCATTCCATACGGGGACTGCTGAAGATAGTTTCGATGTCCAAATTCTCTTGATATAGCCAAGGTGATATCTCTTCGAATCCAAAATTTATGTTAACATTCATTCCAAAATTTCTGCTCAATCTTGTGATTTTGTCTGTAAAATTTCTTGTTTTATATATTGCGGGTACTTTGGTAGATCATAGTCAGCTTATTCATAAAACTGTCGAAAATGTTACTGTAGGTTGTGAATATTTGCTTCGCACGTATTTTAGATTGGTAAATTGAAGTTTATAAAATGGAACTCGTTTTTTGTTATCTGAAATGAGAGTTAAATAACATCTTTCACTTCCGATGGATAAATTATGCTGCATATTAATGCAGATATTTTAAGATAATTGATTTGGTATAATTTAGCATATTTTGTAATCATTGGCCATGTGGTAAACATAAAAAAGTGTTTAAGAATTAATACTCTTTGAAGCTTACATTTGAACCTTCGTATATATTCCAATGGCCAACACTTTCAACTAACAATTTCCTTTCTTATCATTTTTTCATCATGATACGACGAATGAATTTAGTCCCGCTACTTTGGTGATTTTAGTTTTTGTGATCGATCAGTTCATAATGTGATATTATTAATTTAATTATGTACTGTAAATATTCGATTTTATGGGGTGTAATGGATAGAAGGGAAAATAAAGGGGAAAAGTGGAAATCCTTTTTTGTGTGCGCACTTCATAAAACGGACGACGTACTGATCTTCAATATATTACTAGTTAATCGGTAGTGTCTTTCAATTTCGTATAACCGAACGATATTTTATTTGAGATATCATTTTGCTTTTGAAAAAATGTGGAATAGATTACGCTGCATTCAATTGAGAATTCGTTTCACCCTACTGTTACTCATCCTTTGTCAGTATCATTATAGGCGCGTTACAGTAGTGAACCATAGTAGGTCCTCAAACTGCCTTAATTCCTAAGATGTAAAGTGGCTAGCTGGACTTTAACAAGTTGTCCCACAAATATCTTCCATTCTTTTCTAGTTCAAGTTAATTTTATGTGTGTTTCTTGACGCTGTGTCCGGTTTCGGGACCTTCCAGCAAAGATTGTTAAACTTACTTCCCAATTAATATATGGAAAGTTTTAATGAATGGATCAAAACAAGCAACACAGTTTTTAGTGTACCATATAGAAATCTGTTACTCTACCATGACTGTATATCATTAAATTTATTGGATAAAGCCTCAGATAAAGATACCTTTGGCTATTTTGTAAATATAATCATGATAGGATAACACATTCCCATATTATGCGTATGTTAGTTTGTGCTTCCTTCTGCTTTATTCCAATTTATTAAAATTTATAGCACAGTTGGAGAAGATTGTAAAGTTGCATTATAATAATTGAAAGATGGCATTGAGGGCATATAAAAAAAAAGTTTTGCAAATGTGAGTGTGAACAAAAGATGTTTTACATTTTCGCAAACTCGAAAAAAGCATAAAGTGTTGTTTGCATACATTAAAACATGAATAGATACAATTCCAGAACAAAGCAGATCTTTCATCTCTATCAGCAAAAGAAATCAAAAGAAATGTAGCTTAAGTTAGCCTTCCCGCTTCTCACTATTTCTTTTATTTTTCAAAATTTATGTTACAATTCGAGAAGCAGCTTAGTAGAAGTATTTACCGGATTTCCCTGAAACACATTTTCATACAATCCTGTAATGAATATATGTTGACATCATAACTCAAAGAAGAATTTCATTAACAAGTTGATTGTGATTTCTGTGATGATAATAGTGAAAATGGTATTGTGGACGATATTCATCTAATAGAATCTTGATATATCTTCTGTATATCATAAATGATATATAGAACAAGATATATCATCATCAAATATGACTAAATAGTAGTACCAGCTGATAAAATACATCATTATACCGTTATACATGCAATAAACGGTTACTGTCTTCTTTTAACACCATTAAAATAGCAGCACATCTTATCTGACGAAATAAATGATCGCCATCCGTCCATTTCAGTTTTATCACTATTTCTTCCTCGGATATAATAAATATGACAATCGAATTTAATAATGGTGTATTATTACAGTGCGGTATGTAACTGCCTGTAATAATGCTATTGTATGTCTAAAATGGAAAATGTAGACAGTCGTGATAATGGCACGATGGAAGTGATGACAGCAATGGCAATGGGAGAGACGATGATGTTGGAAGGGATGGAACTGAAATCGATTGGGGCTTTTTGTTGCTTTTAAAAAAGTAGCTTTAGTGATGGCTAAAAACAGTGCATTTTTGCTAAATGTATACTTTGGGGTAGTTCGAATGTTTGTGTATGTGTGGTATGTGTGTGCCTCATGTAGATGTTATCTAGTGATGTGCGTCACTTTGTTGTTGTGTCATCGAAACAGACATAAGTGATATTTTTTAGGTTGATCAAGCAGCAGTCAGTAGCTGAAAAGGGGAGAGTGCACCGTCACCATCCGTACCATCGATACCGGGATAATGGCTGCACCTTGAAAAGGAGCAATAACCGCATCAGGTGTGTCATTTCACCGTTGACGGCTTCAGTCTCGATCTGCGCTAGAAAAGGAAACTGTAATGGGCAGCTTACACGCCTCCCCTTGTTCCGATACACCCAATTTTTGAGGATTGTCAATGTGTTTTGGAAAGCATTTTTTCCTATTGTAGATATCCCCATCACATACACATATATATGTATGTGTGTATGTGTGTATGTGTATGCGTGTGTGTCACCGTTGATAGCTCCGGTCTCGATCCAGAGTGGGAGAGGGGACCGATGAGGCAGCTTACACTCTCCGCTTGTCCCGTTACACTCCATTTCTGAGGATTGTCAATATGTTTTGAAAAGCATTTTTCCCTTTTGTATATATCCTTACCAAATATATATATATATATATGTGTGTGTGTGTGTATGTGTGGGTGTGTTTGTGCTTCCAAATTGGCAGTTGTCTCTTCATGGTTTAACTCCCCCGCTTCACCCCAACCCTTCAGTCGTTGTAATCAACCGTTTCATCATTTGTAGTTGCTGCGTACATGGGTACTAGATGTAGGCAAGACAGGACATCATTCATACCAGTTCCACTCCTCACTTTCCAGCCGTTTCTCCGTATGATGTAGATCTCAGAGTATTTTCATCAAATAAACTATGATTTCTATCCCTGTGGACAATGTTTAAGACGACATTTCCATTTCTTATCTTCCAGCGCATTCCTGAAAGTTTGCTTTTCATATTTCTGATGAGACTGTCAATGCACAAGTGTTTACCTCAGTTAAAAGATTTTTTAAGACAGCTAATTTCAGTTATTAATTTGGAATATAGTGAATTCTTGTCTCTCTCAAGACGACTAGCTTAGTAAATATAGAATGTCTTCTAGCAAGGCACTTCCGTGCTGAATATACTGTTTTTTTTTTCATCTTTGAAAGGCCAATTCTAGTCTGAAATTACTCGTCTAATCTATTTTTTTGGTTAGGTATTTGCTGATTCACATCTCCCAAACTTCTCTAGCCACTACACATATCTTCAATTTGCTTAGGAGTTTTCAAGTCTGTTTTTTATCGTTATAGTTGCAACGATCAGATTTTGCAAACGGTCACATAATTAGGCGAAGTTTCGCAATTTATTCAAAATGTCAAATATTGCGAATTTTTGCACCCTAAAAATTAGACATGCAAAGGTATCGGGACAAAAAGAAAAGATAGGTGATGTAATGCAGGTATGAAAATCAAATTTCAGAGCTGGGCCTAATGGATATGGTTTCTAGTGAAGTACTATAACCATTACCTAACAATTTATAACACCTATAACCTTGTTTGGTTTCTATTTCATTCATCATTTCAAAACGATCGACTTTCTCGCTGCACCACCAGTATGCCAGTAAATAAAATTTTGTAATATTTATCTTGGTACGGAAAATAATATGTTTGGGAAATGTATCATCAAAGTTCATGTGAAAGTAGAAAAAGCTTTGGTATGCTCATCGTATCTACGCTTTAGATTTTCACAAAAGAATTAGGAATTCAGTTACTTAATCGGGTTGCTTATTATTCAGAAATCAAAATTTTTATTTGGGTAATAGTCTCAAATAAAGGCCCGCGTTATCAATTAGCCTTTTTGACTATCACCTTACTGATCCAATAATAATGCTTTTAAATTCTATTTGACGATCTCATATTAGCCGAAGGTAGTGTAGTGAATTCCTAATTCCAAAAGAATTAGGAATTTAGTTTCAATTTATTAGGTCATTAAATAATCGAAAACATTGCATGAGAAAAAAAATTTCACCAAAACTTTTTCCTTATGTATGAGGAACAAAGTATCGAAAGTATCATTTCAGTGTAATTTCGTTGTCACTATTTTGCAATCCGACATGAGTCATATATACATCGAATTTCACAGAAATTTTTTTCTTATTTCACAGAAATTTCCCACAATTGTTTCAGTGAATTTCTTCTTTTTTGGATTTAAGATTGGAATTCTCAATATCTGAATTAAAATTTCTTTTTACTAAATCATATTTAGCACCTACCTTCAATTATAAAATGAAATCGATCTTACTAGATTATATTTTATAGAATTTGGCGTTAATTCATAGAATTGTATGGTGAATTTTTAGAAGAAAATATTTGCTGTTTTTTTCAGCAATTTTTCCTCGTAAGTAGAAGTACCCGGGATAATTGTGGTAGTAACACAAAAAAACTTGAAATTATTTTCGGATCTGAAACAATTCATTTACGAAGGTATTACATTCAATGCAGCATAAGATCATTTTATTATTTTTTTAATCCGTTAATATGTTGCAACGACAAGCATTTCATGCGAATTTGTGAAAAAAGTAAATGATTGTTTGCAGTGCAACAGATGGAGTGCAACTGTACTCTTTGGGCATAGATCATTCGCTACAAAATGGTGTATTGTATTTTCATTTTAAAATGAAAAATGAGCTAGATCTGGATTGTTACCTAGAAATTAAACATTACATCCTGAATTTTATACCATACATTAATTTAGTGAACTTCGATATTTTATCGATTTGATATATTCTTGTGAAAAATGTATGGTGACATTAGGTAGAATTGAAGAATAAGAGTGAGAGACGGGAAGAAACAAAGAAATGGAAGAAATGACAAGTTTAAACGAGAGTTTAACCAAGACATCTACTAATTATGTGACAGCTCTCAGGATTGACAATATATGATAAAATTTACGAAAATATATGGAGAATGCGTAAAAACAAGTTGTTTCTGTACGTTCCGCACTTAGTGTAAAGAATTAAGAACCGGAATAATTTGGCATCTCCTGAAGGAACTAAACATAAATCCCAAGAATGATCATTATTAAAAGCCAAAACAAATGCATCCATTTGGAAGAATTATTAAGAAATGAGAAATCCAGAAATTCCAATTTATTCGTTGGTCCAGCCATTTACTTGTCCCAAAATTAACATGGTTCATCTGCCAATTTTTTCTTTTTTTCGCTATTTCAATCATTGTTTCTGTCCTATTTTGCCTTTATTTCCTGGCATTAACTGCTTAATTAGCGGTTTTTGCAAAACAGTCGATTGACCGGTGCTTCCATCGGGAGGCTAATGCTGAAGTGCAGTCGACATGGAATTGTGTCAGTAACAGGAGAGTCTCGTGAGATTTAGAAATCTTATATTCAGATCATTAATTACTTATATTCAGATCATTAATTATTTCATCTTTTTTACTAACCGTGGCGCTGCACTCGTACCACAAACGGAACCCTATACTACCGAGGTGATTTTCAGTGAAACAATGATGCAACTGATTTGCAGAGAAAACCTTGTGAGGATGTGCATTTCCGTTGAAGATGCTGTTGGTAGTAAGTGAAAATACACATCAACGGGTATCTGGTGAGAAGGTTACTTATGTGATGCTGTTAAATTAGTTTAATTAATTCGTAGCAATTTTTGGTCCTCAGGTTCATTTTTCAGTAAGTTGTTAGGATTTCTTGTAGAACGTTTTGCTGTTTGAATGACATTTGTTTGAGGCATATGCAGTGATGATTGTTTGTATCCAACCACTCAGCTCTGTTTCAAAGCATTTTTGAGCTTTTTTTTGGCGAAAAAAAAACTCTGCTCCTTATGCTAACACCAAACGTGTGCTAGAAACGACTGCCTACACGGATGGAAAGCCGAAAGCAAAGCCCATTTGGTAGTTTGTCTGCTTCTACCGCTTTCCTCTCCTCACACCATGAGCTGCTTGCTTCATCTATTGAATTTTTCACTGAGTTCACACCAGTTCGGTCTTCAAGACAGGCCGCTATCTCCTTCCCGGTCGATCCCTGCACAAGCACTAACCCTCCTACCAGCCTCCAAACACAAACACACACACACACATACAGCACGCTCCAGCGAAGCGATCGGCGCGACTAAATTTCGAGCACTTCGTCTTCCTGCTGCAAAGAATGCCTGCACCGCGCGATGCGTTTTCCGTGTTGATGGTAGCAACAGCGCTGCTGCAAGAACACACACACATGCCATGCCTCACTCAGCTGACTTTCGGTCCTTCTCAGCTGATTGTTTACATGTTGTGATGGACTCCTACCACATCCTCCTTACTCTCCCCTAACTCTGTTCACTCTATGCTGACAGTTTTCTCTATCTTTCTCTCAATCCTTTCCATCATCCCGGTTTTGTTTGCTTCAACAAAAACTCAGAGTTATCGTCTTTATTTCCATCTATCAAATCATTCCCTCTGTACGATACATTATTAATTGTAGCTTGTACGAACGGGTCAAAGGTCAACTGAGGGTTTATGTTTTGTAAGTGGGAGTGGGAAGAGTCTCGATTATGTGGCACATTTTATTGGCAGCAAATAATCACCATCAGATAAAAAGGCAATGATGCCCTCAGGATACTTTATCCCTCCATTAAAGCCTGGATAAATAAGGCAGAAAGGCTTATTTCCACAAGCGATATAACCTTAATTTCTCTAAACAAAAGCACCAGAAATTGTTAGAAACAACATACTTATCTCGAAATATAAGTTGATAACAATCGTACATGTGCATACATCAGGTCATGCAATTGACATCGGCATCTGTAACGCGTCGACTTGCAGCTGGCAACGATATGACAGCATCGAATTTTATGAAACTTCTTGGCAAAATAAACAAAAATGTAGCACATATACATAAGAGGCGTATAAAGCATACGCCTAGCGAGATACAATAAATAGTCATAACAAGCACAGCAATAGTGATTAATGGTTGTAGACGTGTATGAATGTTTTTATGTGAGTTCTGAAAGGTACTGTTGATAGTTTAGAGTCCGCCGTTATGCCATCGTTCAGGGAAGTGAGCTTTCGAAATTGTTGCTTTTA